TGTGTAGGTTGTGTAGACGAAGAGAAGCGGCCTGCTAATTGTTGTACGACGCGTATGAATGTAGTATAATCGCGAGGTAGGTTGAGTTGTTGAGAAAGTCGTCCGCGAAGAGTAGAATTAAGGCCATTCCTAAAGGTGGAAATTTTGTTGACATCTGGCCAGTCCTGACCTCTTGCTTCGTAAAGGACACGCTCAAACTTGGCGATATATGTAGGGACTGAGTCAGCACCTTGCTTGAGGGCAAATAGCTTGTCTTCCGCCTCCTGTACCTTGTTTGGATTGTCGTACACGCGCGCGAGCTGTTCGAGGATTGTTTGGTAGTCCCAGCTTTGGGTGTCTTCTGCTTGAGAGAGCTGTGGAAGGACCATGGCTTGGACGTGGGAGTCAAGGTTGAGGTAGACGTAGTAGAACTGCGCAATAGCGTCTCCAATAGCTGTACCGTCGACTCGTAGCTTTGCTTTGATTGAGGGAAGCCAGGTGTCGAATTTATGAGCCTGGCCAGTGAATTTGTCAGGGTCTGGGAGGGAAGGTTTAGGCTTTGCGGATGTTCTTGACCGGAGTAAGTGAATCTCGTCGCGCTGTCGCTGGACTTCAGCTTGCAACTCAGCGATGGCGGACTGAACTTGAAGGGCATCCATTGTAGAGAAGTCGAAAAAAGAAGAGGTTTCGTCGTGTTGTAAAGTGTAGGGTTCTTGCGCACAAGAAAGTGGTAGAAATCGTGAGAATTGAGACGTAAGATCGTGGACCTGAACTTGGACGTGAACGTGAACTTAGACCTGGGATACTTAGCCTCAACTAAGGGTCTTTTGTAATGTGACAGACGTGCTTCAGGTAGAACTCAGAACAATTAACACTCTATTCTTAGGACAAAAGACCAGGAAAGAAGGAGAGCTCGAGAGAGCTGGGAACTAAATACAGGTCGTGCGCGCTAGCGCCTCGCTAAGCGAGCATGTGACATCCAGCCCTCGTGACCATAACCGTCACAATATTAAAACTACTAACTAGGGCCGAAATAGTTTTGTTCTAACTTATCTTTAATACTAAAACTAATAATCATAATAAAGTTATTCGATAGAAAATTAGGTAGGTAGCGTAAGGATTCTTATAAATCTATAGAATTAACTATAAAGAAACCTTTTTACCTATAATCGGTATAGATATAATAAGACTAATTGTTACCGTAGCTATAAAGTATAGGTAAAGGCTATACTAAATAAACGTTGTTATAGCTTTCCTAGTAGTAGATCTTACTAATAAAATCTATATAGAAGTCCTAGAAGAGGTAAGAGTCTAGTTTAGAAAGTATATAAAGGTTCTAAAGAATTTATATAGCTTAGATATAATATCTCTTATTATTAGGATACTTTAAAAGTATTAATTTCGAAGCCTCTACTATAGATCTTATAATAATAATATAGAAAATAATAAGTATAATTATTAGAATTTATATTAATAATATAATAATTACTAAGCCAAACAAAAAAGCGATTGAAGTAGTTAAAGATTAATTAAATAATCGATTTAATATAAAATATCTTAGAGAAGTAAAGACTATACTTAGAATAAGGATTATTCGATACTTAAATAGCTCTATCTCAATTAACTAAGAGAAATATACTAGAAGTATTATCGTAGAATACTTATATAAAGATATACTAATTTTCGCTAGACTAATAGATAAGTCTATTATAAACAAGCTAAAAAAGGAGCTAGGTAAGAAGTTAAACGTAGAGGAAAAGGAAAAGTACGCTTAACTCCTAAGTAAGCTTATATAGCTCTTTAATACTTATATAGATATTATATTTATAGTAACTCAAATAGTGTTCTTTATAAGCAAAGTAAGATAAAACTATTAGAAAGCCCAACTTTATATTATTAGCTATATTAAGGGTACCTTGTTTTATAGATATATATATAATAATAGGCGTAAAAAGTATAATATAGGGATACTAATCTATAGCCTAGACCGTAGTATAAAGGTATATACTAGTAACGTAAGTCTATATAATAAAATAGTATACTCTAATATAGATTATAGTAATAATTAACGTGATAAGAAATTAATTCTTAAGACTTTACTAATATTTAATAATAGAGTTATCTAATACTTAAGTAAGAAGATAGGGTTAGTTATATAGTTAATAATAGAAGCTAAGTATATTACTAGGAGTAAATTAACTAAAAGGGTTATTTAGTTATAAAGACTCGTAGCTAAACTAGAAAGTAAAGATTATACTAGAGAACTAGTACTAATACTATGTCACGAATCACGTGCAAGCATGTGACAAGTGAAGACCAGGCGGTGTCCTGACAGGTCGAGCACTATCATATCTCTTATAGAGTGTCACGAATCACGTGCAAGCATGTGACAAGTGAAGACCAGGCGGTGTCCTGACAGGTCGAGCACTATCATATCTCTTATAGCAAATAGGGACGCTTAGACTAGCTAAGCGATCCAGGGATTTCATTCCATTCGTATCACGTGACTAGCTGTGCTAGACGGGGCGACCGGTCGCGCGGTCTTGCAGCGACAGGGCGACTGGGCTAGCAAGCTAGCACAGGAACATGAAGGTTCTATATAAGACTGGCACGNAATAGGGACGCTTAGACTAGCTAAGCGATCCAGGGATTTCATTCCATTCGTATCACGTGACTAGCTGTGCTAGACGGGGCGACCGGTCGCGCGGTCTTGCAGCGACAGGGCGACTGGGCTAGCAAGCTAGCACAGGAACATGAAGGTTCTATATAAGACTGGCACGTCTGCCATTAGATAGGAGCTTCGTGCTCAACTTAGTTATCAATCTTATCATATTAGTTTGACATCTTTGATACAAGTAACGAGTTCACTTCCAAGTGAACAACCCGATAGTCTTCTTCTTATCATAGCATACCAACCAGCGAACACCCAGCCAAGTTTAGTTAGCCAGTTTGAGTATTCGTTACATACTACTAGGAGATAATAAGGTAGTAGTTTAAATATTAAATAGAATTTTAAATACTATAAAAGTTAAGTATATTAATATTACCTTTTACTATATTATTAATAAAGTAAATAAAAAATAAATCTAAGTATACTAGGTACGAGGGGAGTTTTAATTAGTAGACGGCTTAACTAAGGTACTAGATAAAGTAATATTCGAGTTAAACCGAAGTATAATTAGTATTAAAAGCGTAGTTTAAGGAATCTTTAAATAGCCTTACTTTTATAGTCTTAAGAGATTTAGGGGAGTACTAAACTCCGCTGTCTGGTTCTACTATACTATAGTATTATTATATAATTATATTCGACCGAGTAACAGATAATTAGTTACCGGTAGAATTCTCTATATTATTTAAGCTGGTGCCTTCTATACTTCTCTAATCCTTAGTTCAATCAAGAAAGTCATATTCCAACAAATCGGAATGGACATCTTTGTCTAGATCTTTTCCTATGATGGATAAAGAGCGGAAGCTGGTTTATGGTACACTCGTGAGAGGGTTGAGTTTTAGGTTTTCTTATGTACGCGAAAGTTTTGTGATTGCTTCAAGGGGGTAAAACTTTGGATAGTGCGAAATTCAACATTTTGTGCTTTCTCAAATCATTGAATCATTGCTGCGTATTAACTGGTGATTTTCGCCTCTTTAGATGAGCTAGTATTTTTGGTCGCCAAATTGTGGAGTTGGCTAATTCCTGGAAGTCGCATTTCGGTCGCTAAAAATGGCAGCGTAATAAATCATGTTTATTTGGTCGCCTGGGTTTATTCAGGTATTATTTATGCTTACATAAAGAGCGATAATAGCAATTCAACAAATGAACCTCAAATCGAGTTGTTAATTTTTGGGTTGCAGTGAACACCTGGGATTTTAGATCTGTGTGGGTAAGTCACCTATATACCACCTACGCTTTCACAATTGTTATTTAAAGTATATCAAATCTAAAAGATTCCGGGTAATCATATCAACACATCTAGAATGAAGGAAATTTCAAGACATGATTTACTACTACTTTTTAGGTAAGAATGGCAGGCATTACTCTACACAAGCTATCTAAATTTATTATACCAGAAGTCTAGCACAAATGAATAAGTTGTTTTATTTTACCTAAGTTAATAAGGAGTGAAAAGTAAAACTATTTTAAATTATTCGTATAATTGTTTTAGTTGTATTAGGCCTTTAGGATAATATTTTTGTAATCTAGGTGTATATAGAGTAATACCCGCTTCTCTTACAAAGTCAAACCTGTATGGCCCTTGCCACATTTATATATTTATGGCAAAAGAAAGGGTGGTTCGTGGACTCGCTTGAGGAAGCCAACGTTTCAACGAAAGACCGCAGCATACTTAATAGACTAGATAGTGAAGTTTCATTGTATTCAGAAAGACCCATCATGGCATATGGAAAAATCTCAATCATAGTAAAGCTTGAAAGTAAACGACTCTACAACAGCTACTTCATTGGCCTCCCTAGGCGGAGAGCCCACCAGAAGGAGTTTACAGAGAAAGTTGCCAAACTATACTTGTTGTCTTTATTTTTGGGCCTTGTTCATGTTTATGACATGAATTCTGATATGGCAACTCATCTAGGAAAATACAGTTGAGAGTGGTTGGTATTCATAGTCTAGAAGCTTGGCAAGTGTGACAGTTTTTGATTTAGTGAATAAGGGTTCGCTTAGCGAAGTTGCGGGTGTACCCTTCCGTAGATAGACAAATACCTAAGGAGTGCGAAGAGCGTCTCTCTTCCCTCCTTGCGAACAATCTATTCCTTGATCCCCACCATAACAGCAAGACTGAGTTTGGAGATGGGTGAATGAAAATTCAACTTCCCTGGCACTAAGGCGATTCATATGAGACAGGGGCAGATCCAAGACAACTCACTGAGCACGAATTGCAATATCTCCTTGAACATTTCAACGGAATTGTCTTATGTTTTGGTGAGAGGAGCTCAAAAGTCACGTGGACAGAATTAGGGCACTCGGCAAAATTTCGCCTTCCGTCTCAAAGGCTCACGAACATTTCGCGGACCGCCAACTTTCCCCTCTTCCACCCGCCAATCTCCAGCTTCACGATCCTCCTTCCCCCAAAGAAGCAGCCATGGGAGTTCCCTTCGATTATGCGCCCGATCGCCCGGAGCACATCGATGCCATCCTCAACGGCCTCGATCGCTACAACCCGGAGACCACGGCGGTATTCCAAGAATACGTCGTCCAGCAGTGCGATCAGAAATTTTACGACTGCTACGCCAACCTCGCTCTCCTAAAGCTGTACGTAACCCCACCTATTTTCGAAGTCTGCGAAAGAAAGTCACCTGTCAAGTGATGATCGTTTGTAAACGTTTCCTATTACCTGAGGGCAACGAAGAAAACCTTCTGCTTTTTGAAGTTCACCAACACTATCTGAAAGACACCGACCCCCCGACCTTTGTTGCGATGCCCAGAAATCTTCAAGCAGATTACTGACTCGATTGATTCTGCGACTTTAGGTATCAATTCAACCCTCATCTCACCAAAGACGAGACCATCACCAATATCCTCGTCAAAGCCCTCACCGTATTCCCATCGCCAGACTTCTCCCTCGCACTCCACCTCCTCCCACCACATATTCTCACCCCGCTCTCTTCATCTTCTGCTCTCCCAGCAGCCGGTGATGCCCCTCTCTCCGAAGCTGTCCAAAAATTGAATGTCCTCAACAACCTCCTCGCACAAGCCTCGTATGCTGCCTTCTGGAGCACCCTCGACAGCGATGACCTGTACGCCGATCTCATCGCCGACGTCGCCGGTTTCGAAGAATTGATCCGCATCCGAATCGCTCTTACAATCTCCCAGTCAGTCCGCGAAATCGAGCGACCGGTTCTAGAGAGCTGGTTGGGTATGCAAGGCGACGCATTCAACAAATTTGTCAACGGAGTTTGTGGATGGGAAATTGGGGGCACCGTTGTCAAGGTCCCATTGAACAAAGAGAACGAGGCCAAGGGAACGATTGTCAGAGAAAACGTCAAGATGGAGCAATTTTCAAGAGTCATTAGAAGAGCATATGAACAGCCTGCTTGAGTGGAATCTTGAGTGGTGTTGTATCATTAGCTCGTAGATGAAGATGGCTGCATTGCATGGCAGGGTACGGCACGGAGTGGTTGGGATGGCGTTTCGGAGGCGTTTAACTCGTACATATTGGTCGAGGCAATGAAGGAATGACACATCATAATTTGATGAACATGGTGAGCTTGATCTCGTGGATAGTGGATAACACAATATGCCAGACAGCAAGAAATAAGCAAAATCACATAAACACTCAGAAGCATCATTTCATGTGACCAGTATTTCGCCCGTCTAGTTGTGAGGACAGCCTAGATCGCCTCAGTGATGTTTAGCTCACAAAATCAGATTCAAAAGCAAAGACCTGAAAAGCCAACCGACAAGACTTTCCTCTGAGAGCAACTTGTAGCTCTAGATCTGGGAACTCAGGCGACTATTTAATTACTGTACTAAAACCTTCTAGAGTAATTGATTCATTCATTTGTGAAGCTTACACGAAACAACCAGATCCGAAAAGTGGATTTGAGAGTTTTGTAAGAGACATGGTTGTTACTCTGTACACACCTCTCTTATAATAAGAATAAAATTATTCCAAAAACGTCGTATAGCTAAAACAGTTATATAAAGAGCTTAAATAATTTGTTAACTCTCGATTTGTCCATACCCTAGGTACCTATCCTAAGACAATTACCTATCTTGCTTGTACCATAAGTTTGGTATAATAGAGTTTTATATAGTGTGTACAGAGGAACGACCAGGTATCTTACAGTTACATTATCACATTATTACAGTAGGAAGGCGAAACACCAGACTCCGAAAGGAAAAAGTACCGGCATGTTGCATTCCATTTCGTATTCCACATATTCCCTCGGTATCTCAAACCGAAAGCCCTTCGCAACCATCATCACCGCATCAGCAAGAAGCCTAAGCAGTGATATACTTCCTCTCGAAAAACCGGTTGATTTATCGGTAATTGACCGAAATACCCCCTGATTTATTATAAATCACTAAAATACCCCCTGCATAATTGGATTTTGACAGAAATGCCCCCTAAATTTATACCCCTCGAAAAGGTCGAAAAAAGGGGTAGTTTTGTCGGTATATTAGAAATAAGGGGTAGTTATGTTAGTATCGCTTAGAAAGAGGGGTATTTCGGTCAGAATATAAAAGTTACAAGATTCTATTTCTTTATAATCTTTGTAGCGTATTACACTAGAAAGTTAATAAACAAAGTAAATTAATCTACTCCTACTTACTTCCTACCTCGTAGTCCACCTCTAGTGGATTCTAGGGGTGGTTGAGCCCAGTATTCCTTGCCCTTGCGCTTACGCTTATTATTAGTTCCTTGTTCCTAAGCAATATCCTCAATTCCTGGCCCCTAGGCCTCAATTACGTCACCCTAGTCTTCTTGTACAACGCTCGCCAAAGGCGCTAGTAGCGCTAGCGTCTTCTTGCTTTGCTAGCTGTTTCTTGAGATTACGTTGCGGTGCCGGATTATCCTCGCGAAGCCTCTTTAGATACTGGCTGGCTAGCATGTGGTGGGAGTGGTGTTGGGAGTGGTAGTGGAGAGAAGTTATTATTGTACAAGGAAAACAGTATTAGCGGCATGGCGCTGTAGCTTTGATTTACTAGAAAATTGGTGTAGTACTATATTAAAAAAGTGAATGTTAACTGACAGAACTATCCTACTTTCTAAGCGATAGTGATAGAACTACCCCTTTTTTTCGACCCTTTTGAGGGGTATAAATTTAGGGGGCATTTCTGTCAAAATCCAATTACGCAGGGGGTATTTTAGTGATTTATAATAAATCAGGGGGTATTTCGGTCAATTACCGTTGATTTATCAAAGTCATATCACATCACCGCCCAGCATCCTCCCACTGAACCCCAACCCACTCCTCCATCCACCCAACCTCCCCTTTCCCAACATAACTCGCCACACAATCCCCCGCGCAAACCCCCACAAGTATAGTCCCCCACTCCATCCCATCCAATCCCTCCTCATCCCTCTCCAACTCCATAATAGCATGCGGCGTAAGCTGACACTCAAACTCCCTCTTCCCCCCACAACCCCCACACCTCGGAATCCCCCCCGCACTCTTCACCTTCTCATTCCCACCCCCCGAAAGAAGTTTCCCTACCGCGTCTGTGGTGGAATAAAGCAAAGGTGCACCAGCGTATTCATACCGTAAGACCTGTTCGGGATTATATCCCACGCGATCTGCGAACTTTTGGAATTGCCGGTCGATGGTGCTTTCGAAGACTTCTTTGTCTTCTTTTCCGCCGCCTGAACCGGAGCCGGAGCCTTCGTCAATGTCCATTACTTCGGGGATCTCCATTTTGTCTAGGGGTTGTTTGTCGAGGATTTCGTAGTCGGCGTCTACGAGGTAGAGTTTTAGATAGGGCGTTGGGTAGGATTTGGAATCTGTAGGCCAGGGTTCGGGAATTGGTGGGGGCCCGTATGTAGATTGGGGATTATTTAAGGAGAGGGCTTTGGCGAATGTTTGGGGGAGGGAGGCGGTATCTGAGGAGGATGCCGGTTTTGGTGGGGTTGTATTTGAAGGTATCGTTTTTTTCGCAGCGAAAGGATTCTGTGTCGCCGCCGAAGAGGGAGTTGAGAACGGATTCGAAGCTTTACTCGTACCCGTCGAGAATGGATTTTCCTTCGCCCCTCCACTCGAACCTCCCATTGAGAATGGATTCTCCACTGCCCCTCCTTCCTTCCCCTTCGTCCCAAAAAGCGTTTCCCCAATATTGATCCTCGGTTTCTCCTCCACGACCTCCACCTTCTTATCCCCATTTTCACTCTCCTTTTCCCTTTCTCTCTCACTCACGCCAGCACCAACAAACCCCCGACTCCCCCTCAAAACCCTCACACTCCCCTCCTTCCTCCTACACCCCTTATTCCTACACCCAAGAATATAAAGCCTCCTCTCCTTCCCAGGGAGCCTCTCGGGTAGATCGGCATTCAGCTGCAACAACAATACAAGGAACGAACTGCAGACCTTGCATTTGGCCAGCGACGCCGAAGGTGGGTTCGAGGGGTCTAACCACGTCTAATCACCAGGCATGCAATCAGTAAAGGGCCAGAAAACCTAAACATAAGACCAATATTAGAAGGGCAACTCACAGGACTGCCCCCCAGATAACTAATCACATCGTCCCCCGGCTCCTCATCCGCGTATCCAAGTAAGACGTTCGTTTCCGTGTACCCCTCTTCTGCGCCTTCTTCCTCCTCGGAATCGCTGTCGTATGGTGGCATATTTTAATGTTAGCAGTTACTTCTGGCGCCGATTTACACGGGTTCGATTGGGATGCGGTTGGTGCGCGAAGTCGTAGAGAACCTGGTGTTTGATGTTGATGCGCGGGGTGGCTCGTGGAGGGGCAATTTTTATTTTTTCCCTCGTAAGGCTGAAAGTGCGGGGAAGAGACGCCCAAGTTTCGGCCAATCATAATCTCTGAATCTTGAAGTGACAGCCTTGTGAATTGGCTCAGGTCTCGTTGCCTTGTTACTTGATATTATTGTACTTGAGTACTCGGTACTCATGCTGAATTGAATTGGTTAAATAGGACTTTCTATTGTACAATTATTCAAACAATTAACTCTTATAATTTGAGTCTCCGTCAGATACAGGTAATTTAATATACACAACTCTTCATCCCACTAACCTAAACACCGGCACTAGCATTCCAGCGCCATTAATATCTCTCGAAATATAAGAGAACAGCGCGAAACAGTACCTATAATAACGGGGGATATCATCAAAAAGAGGGGACCCGCATGGGGTCCGCATTTTCATCTGCAAACAAGAAGCAAAAAAATCATAAAAGTCGTCGCCATTTACACCCAAATTTTAGAAACCATATAGAAATGAATTTCCTCAAAGAAAAAACCCTTCAAGAAACCTCAACGCCTCCATATGTGCAAAACTCATCGTAAGCCAGAAGTTGGAAGATGAAAAGATGATGCATACTCATGCTCTTCAATACGCACCCCGGATCTTAGCGTACAGATTGGTATCGAGAAAATTGTAGTTTTGGTCAATGTAACAGAATGGATGCTCTGATAGAAGTGTTTGGGCAGTGGGGCGTTCTGAGGGGACACTGGAAACCAGATTAGCAAACAACTCGAAGCAAAGAAGAACGCAAGGAAACTAACATGGTAAAACAATCAGCCATAAATGCCACCGCAATAGGGCTGATCTCTCGAGAGACATCGTCGGGAACGGGTGGCGCCTCATTTAGACTACCGAGCTTATAGATTGCTCCCACAGTCTCTTCCTTGCTCCATGGTCGACGACCAGCAAACATTTCGAGCACCACACATCCTAGTGACCAAATGTCGACCTTGGCAGAATAACCCTGGCCCTGGGATCGTACCACTTCGGGGGCCATCCAGAACACAGAACCTTGCATGTTATTAGAAGCATCATTGCCATAGATATTATCTGACTTTTTGGAGATACCAAAATCAGAAATCTTGCAGGTTCCATCAAGATCCAGCAGAATATTGTCTGCCTTGAGATCTCGATGAAGAATTCCCTCCCTGTGAAGATACTCCAGGCCTGCCAGAGTCTGACGGGTAAGAGAGCTGACGACTTGCTCCTCAAATTTCCCATGCTTTCTCAAGCAACTTCCCACGCTACCACCAGAAATATACTCCAAGAAGATGCTTATAGACGTTTCCTTTCGTTCACAACCCAAATACTGTACAATATTCACATGATCAAGATGCTGCATAGTATCAATCTCAATGTCGAGCGCGGCAACCATTTCGCGCATCTTTTCCTTGTCGTTTCCAGCAGCTTTGGCGCTGACTTCGACTTGCTTAACAGCCAAGAACTCTCCAGTTGTCGCATTCATACCCAGATACACACGCCCATAAGTACCCTTTCCAATCAACTGGCCCTTGAACCACCTGAAAGTTGCTTGTCGCTTAGGTATTGTGTCTTGCGGTATCTGTGGAAGAAGCATACTACCGCGTTGAGGCTTAATTTGCACAATGTTAGCACCAAACATCTTTGTGCTTTTCCGGCGAAGAATCATGCTCGAAGGACCAGATGATGGCATTGGCGTGGTGGACGTGAATCTTTTGTGGGCTTCGTGGGCTCCCTTGGCAACTTCACGAATTGACTTCATGCGGCCTAGGCCTCCTGAACGCCGCACATTTCGCTGTGCAATGCTTTGTATAGACCCTGGGCGCTCCAAGGCTTTCAAAGTCGACTCGTCCGACCCTAAAGTGTCGCTTTCGGTATAAGAACTGTTTCGAATAGAATCCAAGCGCGATGGGCCTGATGTGGTAATGGACATGCCAGCCTGGGCAGCTGCGAGCTGCTCCAAGGTATCGTCATGTTCTTGTATAGGAGATGTAGTGCCTTCTTCTAACACAGGCTGATCAAGATCAAGGTTAGGAAAGAAGTCGTCGAGATGGTTAATAAGCGCTTCGGCAGGAGGTCTGTTTGCCCATACGTCTTCTCTAGCGAAGGATTCACGGCGAAGGAGTTTAGCATTCATCTCCTCGGTAGATTCAGCGAACCAACCACCTTCAGAAGCCGAGCCTGGTGTACGTCGAGCTCGTCTTGTAGAGCTTTTGGTGCTGTCATCGTCAAACTCGGGAGTTTTGCCATTAATCGATGAAGTACTCTGTTGAGGCGAGGTGAAAGACACCGAAAGGCCCTTCTTCGATCTCGAGGTTTTAATCGTCAGGTTAGGTTTCTTGCCCATGACATCGTCGTTACCAGATGCGCCATCACCTGAAAGATCCCTCCTTATACTTGGTTTAGCAGAAAGCTTTCGAGCGGCCAATGGGACAGCAAATAAACCATCATCAGAATCATCGTCGGAGTCCTCTTGCTCTCCTGGCATGGGCGATTTCTCGAATACAATACTCGCATCATCAGTAAAGTCAAAGTTCGGCCCATAAGACTTGCGGTTGCCTGGAGCCGTCAATCCGGTATTATGATGGGCACTTGTAGGGCTAAGCTCAGATGGCGAAGTAACCTTTTTGATGTCGTCGAGCCGCAAGTTGGTAGCTGATGACTTTTGGGGTATCTTTAAAGATAACGATCGATCTCGTCCTGAAACATCATCCTCGCGGTAATCTGGAACAACGAATGCGGTCTCGCCTTTACTCCAGGTTGTGCTTCCAGGAGTGCCACTCAGGGATCTCGGACTACTCCTGCCGGAGTTTGTATAGTCAACACTGGTCATGGCACTTCTACCCCTATCCCCTTGGCCACTACTACCTGGGGGTGTCCTATTGATGCTTGGCGAAGATGTATTACCTGGGATTGGACGACCAACGCCACCCAGTCGACTTCCCATCCCAATAAGTGCGGCAGCAATTCCACCGGCCACTTGCGGAGACTCGGGAATGCGTCGCGGCTGCTCCTGGGGAGCCCAAACGGTCTCGCCACTACCAGAAAGACGCCTGCCTTCACTATCTACGCTGCCAACAGAAAGGCGAGTCTGTCCAGACTTCTTGCTCAAAGAATTAGCCTTAATCAATGTTGCAGACTCGGCTGGTGGTGGAGGAGGTCTCCTTTGGGGATATAGGCTATCGGGTTTCTTATCCTCGAAAGGAGAAAGTCGTGGTTGGTCGAAATCAACAGTGCGCCCGACAATGCCAAATGATCCATCAGCAGAGATGTTAGCCTCCTTGTTTGCCCTTTTCTTCTCTTCGTAGGCCTTCTGCTTTCTTTCCATATCAGCTCGGTGATCATTAATAGCTGTCTTCATCAAAGCCTCCTTTTCGGCCTCGGAGAGTTGACTCTCGCCATTCTCCTGGGTGGCCTTAAACTGCCTCAAACGATTCTGAAGAACGTCATTTTGGTGGATCATTGGAACACTAGGAGCATCTCGACTGGTAGACGGGGCATCCGCTTTGATGGTATTTTGACGAGACGTTGGAGAGGAGCTAGATCGCGTTCTCGTCCCGTTAAGCTTAGCATACGTATCCTCATCTATAGGCGTACCGGCAGGCAAGCCGGGAGATAGACCAGGAGATAAGCCTTTATTTCCAAAATTCAACCCCAGCCCAGGAGAAACAAGACTTGTTGCAGTCCGAATGTAGAACTTCAAACCACCTGGTTGATCGGCATTTTTCCTCCGCTGCACGAGCAGATTCTTATCATCAAGCGGCTCGTCATGTTCCGACCTACCAAGTTCAGTCACATATAAGTGAGCAAGGTCAGGATTGTGTATGCCCATCTGATTACATATCGAGCTGCGTATTTCAGCGGGGTGGTCAGTATCGGAAATGTCACACATGCGATAATTCCATCCGTCCATCGTAGCAAGTACAAAGGTCCTGCCCTGCCGTCGGCTTTTGTACCCACCAGCAAATCGATCATACTCGGAGGCAGAAAATGTAGATAAAGGCCTGTCAAGAGAGGTCTCGCTAGAGTTGCTTACTTTACCATTTCCAAGAATAGAAGGTTTAAAGCTTGCGTAAGGGCTTGTAGGGGACTCCAGATTGGTATCCTCAGGCGATGGAGCTCCCCCGTCGTCCTTCTTCTTCTTCCTGAAATGCTTCATCAGAAACCCTTTGGACTCCTTCGCCGATACTGGGTGATCCAAACTCCCGGGTTCCAAGGGCGAGGGACGTGTACCATCCACGCCATGTCGGCGAGACTCTTGGTTTCGCACGAGATTTGTCTCTCCTACAGCACCCCCCATACCACCACGTAAAACTTGAGCTGCTCCGGGAGGAATGCCTGACCCATATATGGCAGCGTTAGATGAAGTTGAATCTGTGCTGTTGGTTGATCGGTGCGAAGGAAATCTAGGCGAGGCAGAAAGATTGTTGGGGGAATACAGAGTTGCAAATGTTCCCGAGGGGCTTCCACTTTTGGGGCTTCCATCTACTCGAAGGCCCCCTTTGAGCGTATTATCGCTTTCCCCAGCAATAGGACTATGACGTCTTCCTTCACTATCAATATTACGGAGGACATTTCTATGCGCGTTTCGATTCTGTCCACCATCCGAATTATTAGTGTTAGCCCCCAAAATAGGCATAGTCGTGCTTCGAACGGATATTTTACGAGAAGTCCCTAGGCCACTTTTGAACATGGACTTCCCCGGACTGTCATCTCCATTTGCTGTGTTTGGTGTAACAACATGTGCGTCGCGTCCAAGATTTGGTGACGATTCTAGGGTACCCTCAGTCCCTGCGCTTTGGACGTTGGCGCTCGAGGACGCTCGTCGTACATGGGATGACTTCGACAGATCTGTACTTCTCCCCGTAACGATTCCCCGAATTAGTCGTCGCATTCGTTTGCCTTCTTCGCGCTCTCTGGCTTGGTCCCAACCAGTCCCACTATTGGAGCACTCCTTGGCTAATCGTGGATAAACTTGCTGGTGCATCATTCCAAAATTTCCTCTTCCTCCATGACCACTTCCCAATTCCAAAAACATTGATCCGTAAATATTAAGGGCTTTAAATGTCTCTTGCCAGTCGTTTGAGAACTGGTTGCTTGCTAACCATAGTAATACACGTTCCATTGACCACTGTGATCCAGCTTCGTGGGGTGAAATTGGCGTGTTTGAAGTACTGCTACTTGGTAAAGTTGCCGTTGATATGGAACTCGGTCCTCGGTTGGACATTTGCGAATTCGCGTTTGAACTTGTTGGCGTTGGAGTATATTCAGGCAGATGAACATTAGGATATCGCGTGGACGATGTCTGGTATGATCTATCCCGGTCGCTATACCAGCTAGTGCCATCGTCCATCGCTTCCTTCCTGGCGCTTTCAGAAACCGCAGTGAATCTATTTTTAACGGTGTTAGCATATCCAAAAAGGTGAGAGATACAGAGAACGATATATAAAGCAATTTGAGAAATTCATACTCTGCGCTGTCTATTTTCATATACATGGAGTCTCTACCCCCGCTAAACCCAGGAATTCCAACTCCCGGCCCAAATGAATCTCCGCCCGGAATATAAGTTGCAGACATCTGCAGCTCAGAAGATGGAGGAGGCGGGATAGACAACGGGGGAGGTGGTTGATTGGCATATGGCTGACTTGGATTGTACGCCTGATGCTGGCCGCTCGAGGGAGGTGGTGGTGGTAATGGAAACCCTCTCGCATCATAAGTCCTACCCCAACTTCCTTGCCAATTGGACTGTGATCCTCCTGGTGGAGGGCCAGGCGGTGGTGGTATCATGACGCCTGGGTGTTGATGCGATTGACCAGTCGGTGGACGAGGGGGTGGGGGAGGTAGCGACATCATATGTGGTTGCGAGGGGGGAGACATGGGAGGCGGAGGAGGGACATATTGCCTCGAGGCATCTGGCACACGTTGACCGGGTTGGTACATAGCTCCTGGAGATGCGCGCGTCGAGGGTGAGGGTCGATATGGAGATGGAGGAGCGAATAGAGGTGAAGGTAAGGGATCTGCCGTCGTCACAGCAGATCTGGATCGTGGTCTCGAGGGTGCGCTGGAGGCAGCGATAGTTGGATAAGGTGATCCTGAACCGCCGACTCCATAAAAAGGAATCAGCAAGTTCGAGGAGCTATGAGTCGTGAGAGTTGGGACGTCGTTCAAATAAAGAGGGACCGACAAATCGCGGTCGTTGTTGGAGGGGGCCCGTCGTGGAGACGGCTGCGGCCTGCTACTCGAACCTGTGGTCAATTCCGAGTGGTTGGAGATATTTGAACGGGTGGATGAAGCTCTTGGGCGACCCTTCTGATGATTCATGTTCCGACGCCGGCAATCACATTTTGTGCCCTGGTGGTAGTCTGCCTGCTGCCCTTACGAGTATTGACTTTGACCCGCTGCGCTTGCGTTTAATGATCCTGCTGCCAGAGCCACTGGCGGTGCAAGCAGTCGCAGGGCCTGCACCAACCCGTGCCCACCAAGAATGGAAGCTGGAGATCAGGTACCGACGAGCGCCTTCCCTGGGCGCGGCGGAGCAGGGCAGGCAATCCAGTGTGCCGATGCGTTTCGGTCGGCCCTCGGTGGGATCGAGAGATAGCGGGGAGGGGGG